GGCCACTGGAACCACTACCCGATGGCATATGATCTTCCTGCTTTCGGCGTCATTGCATGTGCTGTGCGTGTCTACAGAGGAATTTATGGACTAGTATCGGACATATGGGCTAATATCAGACTTATGGACTTGATCTGGACTGGGCTGGGATGCTTTCTTAATGTACAATTGGTCTTTGATATAAAGCTCTTTCTTATTCACATGGGTGTCTATGAATTTGTTTCTCTAATCAACCCGAACTAACACAGGTAGTTTTCCCACAATTTCACTGGAGAAAAAGCTACAGAACCTAAACAGTGGTGACTTATCATAGGGCGTTTGATAGCCTCATTACTTAGGATAAAACATTCTGGACCAATAACAACAACATCTGGAGCCTGGGTGGCAGAGTGGGTTACACATTGGTCCGCTAGCCACAGTCTGTAACCACTAGCCACTCCGCAGCAGAAAGGTGAGGCTGTATATTCCTATATGTTGTCTCAGAAATCCACAGGGATAATTCTACCCTCTCCTCTAGGATGGCTATGAGTCAGAATAGGTTCCATGGCAGTGAGTACAGTAGAGTTTTGGGAACAGCAATGTGGATGTCCTGGTGGCATCTTTGGCATGGTGGTGAACCAAGAAGATGGTGATCTGAACTTGTCTGCCATTCCTTGGGAGAAAGATGTGATCGTCCATGTTCTTAAGATTACACCTTGGAAATCATCTGGGACCACTATACATTTGACCTTTCTCTACGTCATCACAGTGATGGTTGGTTTGGAATGTCAATACCTCTCAGAGCACACAGCCTTCCATTTGAAATCTATCTTTTCTTGGGGTGGAGGTTGCTGAATGCCTGAAAATCATTTTTTTAACTGTTATGTACACAGAGCTATTCCAGTAATCCTTGGACAGAAATACTACATGCCATGTTTTCTTAACAAGGTCTTTGTTATAGCTCTGAGGATAAAGCAAGAAGAGATGGGGCAAAGAGTTAGGAAGACTTCTTTTGCTCTGGGGAATGATGCAGTCATCCTTCATTCATTACACAATGGCCGAGGGCCACCTCAGTGCCAGGCATTCTTGGAATGCTGTCCTTGTTGGGTACCATGGTGTCAGATGCAGAGATGAATATGGTACTGTCCTTGACTAATCCTCTTATGCGCCTCTCTGTGTGAATAATACTGCAAAAGAGTAGGCACAAATGTCTGACAACACAGCTACACCTCTCTGTCCATGAACAGTAGGTCACTCAACGGCCCCTGCATGCTACCTTCTTTCTGTGGGTCTATTTGGAATAAGTTTAACAATGATTTGAAAAAAGAGAGAGAGACATTGCATGCCACCGTAATCACAAGCCCAATGCAAACTGCGAGTGGTCCTGTGTTCAATGGCTGGGCAGCATACCTCTCAGCTGCCCAAGGCCTAGGTCACAATCAAATAAGAAACCCAAACTCACTGGCATCCACTGGCAAATCTTTGGCCCCCCCAATAGGATGCTGGTATCCAATTCAGAGGAGAAAGAACATCATGTGGCCATAAAACAGTACACAAAGGGCTTCTCTTTTTCATCTTGACTTCAAGACTGCAGGTTCAGCTAAATGAATGAGCACTGTACTTGCTATTAACACTTTTACAAGAAAGATCACATTTACTTAACAGAAAGGTTACACATAGGAAAAGCTTTCTAATTTGTTACTAATTAGGAAGACTGGCTGGTGGTGTACATAAGTGAAAATCCAGGATATGAAGTAGCATAGCTCCCTCTCTCTAAAAAGAAGAATGGGAGTACAAGGGACTTTTCCTGAAGATCCTTCGATCAACTCTTGACTTGTTTATTTAATCTGAACAATTTGCCTAAGGCTAAATGTAATTGTGCCCAGTAAGTGACAAGTATTGTCATCTGTATTTCAGTACTTCTGACAAAAATAAATAAATAAACCACACTTTATTTTCTAGCTTAGTATTTCTCAACAAGCTCGGGGGAATTGGTCTTGGGTGAGCATTTGTCCCTTGTATTGGAGGGCCTTACACTGCCCAAGGTATCCTTCCTGTACAGGAGGCCACAGATAGGCCAGGAGCAGCTCCCAGAGGCCATCCCAGTCTAGAGAGGCTGAGGAGGACAGTGGCACTGTCAGACTGGAACCACTGACTGCTATACACGTTCTTTCATTACTGGGGCAAAATCCTGAAGAGAGGCAATTCCT